TTTTATTTATTTTGTTGTTGCTGAGAATATACACAGCAAAACATACACCAATTTATCAGTTTCTACATGTACCACTTAGTGGCATTGATTACATTCTTCCAGTTGTACAACCATTCTCACCCTCCTTTTCTGAGTTGTTCATCCCCCATTAACATAAATTCACTGTCCCCTAAGGTTCTTATCTAATCTTTCAAGTTGCTGTTGTCTTTTTGATCCCATATAGATAGTTCTTAAGAGGCTAGCTCCATTTTTGAGGGACGCAGAGAAATAATCTTGGACTTGTACGTGAATGTCACAGGGTTTAAAAAATAAAACCAAAAATGTAAAAGAAGGACATTTATGTTATTTAAATACAGCTTAGCATTTGAATAATTTATATTTTACAATGTGCTAATTTTGATAATAAACATAAAATTAAAAGAAAAACTCTAATTCTGTAAAGGCTAATAAGGAAAATGCCAGCCGACCTTTGAAAATGTTAAAATTAATTTTCTTCAGAGATAAAGTTTTCTCCATCTTCCATGACTGAATAAATCATCACCTGAAATCAAGGTGTAGAAATACAAAACTTTAGTGGAGACAGTCTTGTGTTTTAAATTCCCAGCTGTACGCTAGCCCCAGAAAAGAGGGACTTGAAATGAATTGTTGTTGTTAGTCAAGTCAGCCCTGAGCTAATGGCAACCACCTTCCAAAATGGAAAAACAGTGCTCCTCAGTCCTGCGCCATCCCATGATTGGTTGGGAATCAGACTGTTGTGATCTACAGGGTTTTCATTGGCTGATTTTCAGGCATAGATCACCAGGCCTTTCTTCCTAGTCTGTCTTAGTCTGGAAGTTCTCCTGAAACCTATTTATCCTCATAGCAGCTTGCAAGCCTCCATTGACAGATGGTGGTGGCCGCACATGAGGTGCGTTGGCTGGGAATCAAACCGAGGTCTCTGGCATAGGAGGTGAGAATTCTACCACCGAACCACCAATGCCTCTGAATTAAACTGGTTATGTTGAAATACTCCCTTACAGAGCTTAATACTAATCAATCTGTATGTGAAAAGGTGACTAGTACAGCTGTAGCTGGAAGCATCCTATGTTAATTCACACCCTTAAAATAACACTGTAGGTAGGTGGGTATAAGATGCATTAAAAGACTTTGCTACTTTCCATCCATTCATTGACTCATCAAATATTTCTTGAACTTGCTCTGAATGAGGCACCATGGTAGACACTGGGAAATGATGAAGACATCAGTTCCTCTTGAGGAGCCATGTAGATGGGTAGCAGAAACAGACATGCAATGTGTGTCTAATTAACAAGACAACATTATATGTTCCAACCAAGGTTAAGAAATAGAAATAAGGAACTGAAATATGGAGCAATTCCATAATTAGGCTTGCTGCCAGTCTTGTTTTCAGGCTAGTAGTGGATAGTTTTGAAAAGCATAAAATCTGACTATTCACAATGACTTTCAAGTTACCTGATGTCAGTGTATGATCAGTAGATAGATACATTGCTGATATAGACACTAGAAAAATTAAGACAAATGGTAATGTTATCTCTCTTTGTTATAAATCTCATTTGTATTTGGAGACTTAGTTGCAGGTGGGCATATTTCTGATTAGAAAAGCCATAACTGTGTCAGAAATGTAATTGTTTCTAAATGTCCAGACACTATACTTACATAGGGAGCCCTCGTGGCGCAGTGGTTAAGAGTTTGGTCGCTAACCATAAAGGTCAGCAGTTCAAATCCACCAGCTGCTCCTTGGAAAGGCTATGGGGCTGTTACACTCTGCCCTATAGGGTCTCTATGAGTCAGAATCGACTTACTTACATAAACAGACTGAAACCCAAACCCGTTGCTGTCGAGTCAATTCCGACTCATAGCCACCCTATAGGACAGAGTAGAACTGCCCCATAGGGTTTCTAAGGAGCACCTGGTGGATTCGAACTGCCGACCTTTTGGTTAGCAGCCGCTCTTAACCACTACGCCATCAGGGTTTCCATGTAAACAGAAGAGAAGATAATTTAAGAGGTTTTTTTTTCCTTCTGGTTGATTTGTGTTTATTGAGAAAGAGCTCATGTCATTCAGGATGCCTATTTTCTTTTTAGCCATCTATGCTGGTCATTGTTTTAAGATGAAGCTGTTAAGTGTGTTGGCTGGGTCCAGGTTGATTTTGGGTTCATTAAAGTCTGTACTTTTTTCTCATTGCCTTGAGAAGAAACTTTGGAAGACATAGCCCCTCCCTATAAATGAGAAACACACTTGATAGATCATCTTTAATTGGCAAGAATTAAAAGAAAGAAAAAGAAAAGAAACACCACAATCCCACAAACTCATTGCAGCCAACATTGTGATTTTAATTTGTGAGCCTGGATCCTTTCCCAGGTCTATCCAGGCAACACAGTAATCATACTGGGTGGACGTTTCCATATCTCATGCCTCCATCAATACCCAATCATAATCCAGTTTCTAGGCTGTGACTATGTGCTCATGTAACCATCACTCTCTATGGCTCCCAAATATAAAGTATATGCAGCACAATTCACAAACCTTTCCACGGAGGCAAAATTGAATGTATCCAGTTCGCTGTCTTCCCTTGAGCATCTACCCAGAGCCTCCTTGAAGAATTACTGCCCAAAAGAAGCTGCCTCTTCCCAGGTAGCACTTGTTTTCATTCCAGCTCTCCATTTTGAAACCCTGAAACTTCTTTGTATTTTTTTTTTTTTCACGTGGCAGTGTTGTAAGTCTCTGATTTTGGTAACCATTTAGTTTTCTGCTCCATTTCTTCTCTGTTTAGACACTGTCATGCCCCGTCCTACATACTAATTACTGACTTTTTGCTTCTGCAGTGCTTGATTCATTGTGTCGCATTTTCCCACGTGAAAGTGGATCAAGAACCTTGGCAAGGAGGTTAATGGATTTCAGAGTCACTCTTAGTTAACCCTGGAAGTCACAGCAAAATAAGAACCAGGGGCTGACCCATTTTATAAACCAAGCCATGGTCAGCTTTGAGCTGCAGACTAGTAATGGATTTCACTATGGCATCAAGCATCTGCATAATTTGAATAAGATTGAAAATTTGCACTGCCTTTTCCTACCTTTACATTTCAAACAGAAGGCCTAAGCAAGCTTTAACTGCAACTTTTGATTTGTTTGTTAACCTTATCTCTAGTGGGGGGTCACCTGATAAGGTGGATTTACCCCAGAATGAGAGTCAGTTATTTTTTGGGTGGTGATTAATTAACCAATTTGTAAAAATGGCATGGCTGATGGCTGGGGCGTCTGACCTCCTTTAACTTCATGAGGAGGAAGGAGAATCAGAGTCTGTGATTTTAAATAACGCCATTCATTTATTCAGAAACCATTTATTTCTCCTTATTTTATTCCAGTCACTGTGCTAAGGAACATGGACGCGAATTTGGAATCTAAACAAAAAAGAAATTTGTGGTTTCTTTCTGGGGGCTTCTGTGGGGTAATCTTACCTTTAGCACAAATTTTACAACGCTTCTTTCCTTTTAGGTTCATAGGATGGGGAGGTGATTTTAACACTGAGAGATTGTTGATAAACAGTCCCACGGGGAGATTGGGAGGGCCTGCTTACCTTGTGAAAATAAAATCTTCAATTTAGCTGTGTAAAGAGAAAGGGAGAATGAATCATCTTTCCTAAATGTTACCATCAAAATCCTTTCACCCTTCATCATCATGGGCTAAGTAGTAAATATTGACTATGATCCTTATTTGTAGGTTACCTCTTCCAATTCTCTCTCAATGGCTACCCTGGAAGAGTAAATTCCATTGTGGTTGACTACGTCAGTCTTCTCCCAAGTTCATGTGGGCCTCCAGTTAATTTCCTTTTCCTGAGGAACATGAACAAATTTCCCTCAAAGCAGCCCTTCCTAATATGTTAGTAGTAGTATGGATATGGTAAGCAAGAAATCTCAAATTTTCATTAAAACTTATTTTGGCTCTTCTCTTGGGAGATAGAAATGGGAAGGAAAGAATAAGCTTTCCAGCTCTCATATTGACTAAATATTTTCCATTAGAATGTGGCAGGTGTCTTTAAACCTTTGGAAGTAGCTCATACCAAGAATATTCCCTCTCTCTTCACTCACCATGGTTCTTCTACTTGAAGGCAGCTTGTGTGACAGCTTCTTGGCATTTAAAGAATAAGGTACACCAAGAAGAAAGAGAGTTCCTCATGGTTCCATAGTCTTAGTTTTTGTTATTTTTTTAAAAACCAACAAGTAGGTTCTTAGTGATCAGTTAGTTCTGTTTCAAAACTACTGCCACTTTTCATATTTCAGAACCTCTTTGATGTTGGTGGGAATGAGCACCTGCCTGGTGCAGCCGTGGTCAGTTGAAGGATGGGAGGAGGGGCCTGGGAGCCTTGAATAGTCCCTGCCTAGCACTAAGCTCTCTCTGCAGCTCTGTCTGCACCATCTCTGCAACCAGGTTAAACCAGTTTCTACTAATTCCCCATAAGCAGCTTAACCTTCAACTGCCATACAGAGGCGTATCTATACAATTCTGTTAATTTTATTTCATACTGATGACTCGCTGTACTTAGGAATCATCATTTATCTTCAAAAGTGGTGTGTAAGTATTAATTTGCTGGCGTCTCACAACAGCCCTGGGAACTGGAATCACATTCTTATACCCGTTTTTCAGATGATAAGATTGAGACTAGATAAATTGTGATATTTTCTTCATACTTCAAAGGGGAAGCCTGGGCTTGGAGCCCATTTGATGTAGGATTGCTTCACATCTCAGAGCGGCAGTTGATGCTAGATTTGTTTGTACAGGAATGAGAATGACATTTACACGTACAACCTTCTATCATATTGTTCTTTTTAAAGATCGTTCTGCTGGCACGATCTGCTGTTTGGTTTCTTTGCCAAACAGGCCCACCTTATTTCCTGTAGCTGCAGAGAGTACTCTAAGCTCTGAGAGGTTCTGAAAGGATATTTTCAGTTCTTGGTGTGATGGTATATTTTTTGTTTCTCCAGGCCCACCATCTGCTCCTCTCAACTTGATTTCAAATGTTAATGAGACATCGGTGAACTTGGAATGGAGCAGTCCTCAGAACCCAGGTGGCCGTCAGGACATTTCCTACAATGTGGTCTGTAAGAAATGTGGAACTGGTGACCCCAGCAAGTGCCGACCCTGTGGGAGTGGAGTCCATTTTACCCCACAGCAGAATGGCCTGAAGACCACCAAAGTCTCCATCACTGACCTCCTAGCTCATACCAACTACACATTTGAAATCTGGGCGGTGAATGGAGTGTCCAAGTATAACCCTAGCCCCGATCAATCAGTTTCCGTCACTGTGACAACCAATCAAGCAGGTAGGCATCAGATGTACTTTATTGTATGATCTGAATGTATTGAGAGGAAGGAATTATCTTGATGCCTATGAGTGTTACTGAAGTTCTACCATAGAAGTAGAACCACATGGATCTAATTGTAAATCTTTGAACTGTGTTATAAAAGATAACTTAGACGGATGCTTATTCATTCAGCAGATATTCTTTGGACTCCAACTTCATAGTATGCCCCGTACTGGGTGGTATGGAGATAGTGAAGAATAAGACTGTCTGGTTGAAAGATCATAGTCTAGTGAGCTGTCCATATTGGACTTTTCTTATATGGGATTCCCATCAGCCATTTCTAGCGCAAGGTCCATGGCTGACATCAGAGTATTTGCAGAGTATTTGGTATTATAAAATTGATTTTTACCAATACAGAGTATGTTGTCTTTCCAATGAAAGCATTAGCAGCTATAGTTTTGCTCTTCTCTTTTAATTTAAAATTTTAAAAGTCATCTACATGGACCTATACTAGAATTACCATGTAAACCTGTGAACAATAAATGGTTTCTGTGGACACTTTTATCTTTGTGGGTGACAAGGTTTACTTTAAGATGCATACTAGTTCTGCAGCCACTTTAACAGTAGAATTTATGGTTGACACTCCCAGAGGGCAAGCCTGCCCATTAGCCTGCATGCTTTCCTTCTTCTCCTTCAGATGACTACAAAACATTTTTTGTACATGAAGTGTTTTTGTTGAGTTAATTGCACATCTGTTACAAAATCTCGAATATCAGATATTTTAAAGTGCAAATCAGAATCTAGATTTCTAGGCTCTGGATTCTGACGCACTCATCCCCATTTTCCTCCCTGACAAAGTTGCCATACTTTCGCCAGTTTTCCATTCTGCATTTTGACCATGTGTTTTACACTGCCAACTCCCTGTTACTTCTGGAGAGTTAAAAGAGGACTGAGGAGAAGGACTGCGTGGTTTATCATTTTGCGAGGCTCTTAAGGATAACAAACATCACTGGAAAAGGATTATAAATTGCCAACAATTCTATCACCTCTTACTGCACTTTTCTCTTAGATAAATGTTTCAGTAAGTGCACTCAGTAGTTAAGGAAAATACCTGTACTAATTGATCCTAGAATGGAGAGTAGTCCACTGTCCCAGTCCAAAGCCATTATTTTTCCACTTTTCCCTGAACTATCTAGAATAAATAAAAGTTAAGACTTGGGGAAGATTTTGGACTGCGACTAGAATGACAAATCTTACTGGAAGGTAGCTTCAGCTCTACAAATGAGAGCGGTCTTATTAAATATATGGTGTAAGCAGATTATCTGGTTATGCTTTTGTTTTTTAGTTCTGCACTTTTCGGTATGAACACCATTAGTGGTAATTAGTTTTATTTTTCTACAAAGAATAGTATGGTTTAAGAGTTCTTAATAGCAGCACAAGTACTCTGTGTTTGTCAGCTTTTTGTTTGTTTTTTGCTTGGAAGAATGCAATGGAAATACTGCACAGATCCTGGTAACATACATTGGTGGCACTGGGGTGTCTGACTTAGAAGGAGCTAGAGCCGTGCAGAGAGGTCTCTGGACCCCCTGGAGCATCTGGCTTATGACACAGTCAATATCCTAGTAATGTACCTTTTCAGCTGCCCTCAAACACATCATGACTTTATGTTCTTAACCAAATTAAAACTAGGATTGGACCCTTTGACACCTAAGCTATACAAGGTAAAGTCATTCTCTTTGGCAGAGAAAAGTCTCTCAGAGACTCAACTGAGGACAGGATTGGCTCCCACAGATTTTTCGGGGAGACATCCTTGACTCTCAGTATACTTAAGGATTCAAGCCAAGGGATTATGTCAACCCCTCCCAGGCCAAAAGTTCGAAAGAGCACAAAAAAGACAGGCTAAAAATCCTCCCAAAGAAGAAAATGTGCAAAAACATGACTAGAGTGGGGGGGGGGGAAGTCAAAGTAGTTTTATTAAAACTGTAGGTGTGATTCTTTTAGAGCTAGGAGAAAGGTGGACAAGGAAATCTGATACAATGAGGTAGTCACTGCCTTGGTGAGCAGTGTTGTCAGGAGCTTTGCTGAATAGGACAAAATTCCAGCCCCTTATTTTAATTTTCATGAAGGGTAATGCTGGGAAGCTGTTCAAAATTAAAAATAAATCTTTCAGTAAGGAGACCTCCTATGTGGCCAGCCAGAAAGCTTTCGTCTAGCAGGGAATTGTGTATGTGCACTGCACAGCCTCATTATCCTACTGTAATTTGGAGTTCACTAATTCAAAATCATTGGGATAGTTTATCTTTGATTAACAAACCCTTTCTTTATAGTCGTGCAAATTAATAATGTAGGTCAAAATTCTGGGTGGATATAGCAACCATAAGCTTCATCAAAGCTCCCCTAAGCATATTTACATACACACAATTATATTCTAATTGCGATTGTTCCTATCATTTCATTAAATTAAACCCCTTAAGGACCTCCACAGGCAATGATGTCTCACTCTATAAGGAATACATAGAATTAATGAATGTTAGCATTTAACATCTGGAGGCCACAAACTTTAGTGTCTCTCCACCGTTGCTGTTTTCCCAGTGCCCTTTCTGTCATCAGTAACCTGCTTAAAAAAAATAAAAGCCTAGAATTCCTGGTCCTGTCATCACTACTTTGAGTAACAGTTGAGGAACAGATAAGGAATGGTTCCATGAGGGTGAAGTGACCCACTGAAGTTAATGGATTCGGTTGATTCTAACTCATAGCGACCCTATGTGACAGAGTAGAACTGCCGCATAGGGTTTCCTAGACTGAAATCTTTATGAAGGCAGATTGCTAGGTGTTTCCTCCTGAGGAACTGCTGGTGGGTTCAAACCGCCAACCTTTCCATTAGCAGCCAGGCACTTAACCATTGTGCCACCAGGGATCCTCTAGATAATTAATGGCATTAATTTATTTGGCTTGGTATTCTCCCGTTTGTGAGTATCTGGGCATGGGCTTGTAGATTTAAGTGGGCTATAGGGTAGCTATGAGTCAGAATCGACTCGACGGCAATGGGTTTGGTGGGTTTTTTTTTTGGTTATTTGGGAGTCCCTGGATGGTACAAATGGTTAACGTGCTCAGCTGCTAACTAAAATGTTGGTGGCTCGATTCTACCCAAAGGTGCCACTCGAGAAAGACCTGGTAATCTATTCTGAGAAATCAGCTACTGAAAATCCTGTAGAGCACAGTTCTACTCTAACACATGGGGTTGCCATGAGTTAGAAGCCACCCTTTTGGTCATTTAATTGTAAAATGTGGTGTGAATGGGCTGGTGATCTCACATGCTATTTAAACCATTCTAACCCAAATCTTACAGTTGGGATTTTAAGGGGCTAATATATAACATCCTTTTCCTCCCTTCCTGAGATCAAAACCAACTGACACCTAAGACAAGATAAAGGGAAATCACATTGTCAGCTTCATTGCTGATAAACTGATTGGAAGAGCTTTTTATCTGTGGCCAAAAGGACTTGTCTTAGTGACATTTGCCGCTTACAGCCCAGCTGGCTGACCGCAAGCTCCCTGCAAGGGCAAAGCCTGTCCTGCTAAGGTTTCCAAAATGGACAATCAGGAGCAGCCCAAATGAATGCTCTACCAAGGCAGTTCCAGGCAGGTCCGAGAGACAAGAGAGAGTAGAGCTGAGGACAGAGTACAACCAAACCATTGCCTTTGAGTTGACTCTGACTCACAGTGAGCCTACATGTGTTAAAGTAAAACTGTGCTCGATAGAGTTTTCATGGCTGTGATCACCTCTGGGTAGACTTGAACCTCCAACATTTCAGTTATCAGCCGAGCATGTTAACCATTTATGCCACCCAGGGACTCCTAGGAGATAGTACCTTCTCCTCCCAAATTTCCTAATGAGATGTCACCCCAACCCCCCTTGCCAGGAGCAGTGAAGGAGAAGTGGGAAGAAGGTGAAGGTGGGCGAGTACTACTCCAGCTGAAGTCTCACTATGGAAAACTTGAGGCAAGGAGAATGGAGGTCCGCCTACAGTTAACTTTCCTACATTACACTCCAGAAGGAACAAAATGAGAGTCTCCTTGAAAACTCATTTCCCTTCCTCCGTCTTCTCTTCTCTAGCAATTGTTCTGTCTGTTTAGAAGGAGATGATCCTGATGTTTACAAAAAATGGACAAGCAAACTGCTGGGTGATTTGTTTTCTAGATGGCTTTCCTTCAGTTTACTTTTTCTTAAGTGGACCAAATCAGGCAAATGAATACAAGAGGTGTCAGTAGGAGAGAAATACTGTGTACATGAAACAAGGTTTTCCCGGCCAAGCAACAGAAAGTTGAAGATTTTTGCTAAAAATACTGCAATAGCAGCCAGGAAAAAAAACTGTCCAAACCCATTGCCCTCAAGTCACTTCTGCCCCATAGGGTCTCTAAGGTTGTAAATCTTTATGGAAGCCGACTGCCACATCTTTCTTCCAGAGAGTGGCCGGTGGATTTAAACCTCTGACCTTTCAATTAGCAGCCAGGTGCGTAACCACTGCATCACCAGGCTTCTTGATAGCAGACAGTAGAAGATCTTAATATCACTGAGTCGTTTTTCACCATATATTCCCCCAAACCCCCATGCCAGGTCTTCCAGCTTTGGGACTGGACCATACTCTAGGGATGTCTGTCTGTTTTAAATAATTATGAGCCCCTGTGGGTGGTGGCCTCCACTAACCCTGAACCGCACGCGGGTAGTGATAGCCATGTTTTTATTTTTACTTTGCATATGACACTGTTCTAGATACTCTACAGTGAAATAGCCCATATAGTGTCCGAGTAACAAACCCACATCCTTAACACTCTGAGTTTGGAGAAGTTCAAATATTTAATGGGTACTTAATTATTTGAACCTAGCTGAAGCCCTGGTGGAGCAGTAGTTAAGAGCTCGGCTGCTAAGCAAACGGTTGGCAGTTCCCATCCACCAGCCGCTCCTTGGAAAACCTATGGGGCAGTTTCTACTCTGTCCTGTAGGGTCGCTATGAGTC